AACAGCATAAAGTGGATGAGAGCCACGTCGATTAACTGCATCAATACGCATCAAATACCACCGAACAAGATCCGTTGATGAATAGCGACAGTTTGATAAATCTCGAGCAAGAGAAGAAATATTAACTGTTACAAGATCTACCGGAGGAAGATGTGTATGAATCGAACATGAACTTGGACAGTGAATGATTGGTAACGAAGTTGTCAAAGTTAGAGGAACTAAAATGGCTAAAATGAATCTTCGTTTTCAACATTCTGTATTTTACTTACTAGCTACTGTATCTCTTCTGGTGATGAATGATATAAGAAACGTGATGAGAACCAAAAGAAATACTAATACAATTAGTATTTCGAGGCGATAGTTTATCCACCGTGATGTTTTTTTCACGGTTAACATGTTAGCATTAATATTAACGGTCTCGGTCGTCATTGAATCGACAATGTGAATAATCTTTTTCAATGAGATGAAGAAATCTTACCCTTTCATGTAATGTCATTTACAAAAAGTCATTATTTATCTTCATAAACTACCCAAGTGAGCAAAAGACTGGTTAAATGGCTAGTCTTTTTTCTAGTCAAGTCGACCCGTCCCGTCTAGTCTTTATCTCAAAAACTACTCGTCCACGACTAGTCCGAGTTTTTGACCGTCATGCATACGCGTCCTAGTACTCCGATTGGCGACTAGTCATAAAATCTAATAAGAGTAGTCGTGACGAGTGTCACTGTCGCCCGTCCGAAGATGGTTTATGAATGAAAAATTAAGGGAGTCTGGGACGAGTATAAAACCAGCTATAGCCTTATATAGTGGACGAGTATGGACTAGTCCGAATGGAAACATGTAAGGATGAAGATTAGATTCGAACATGTATACAATGTGGCACTTACCCATCGCCAAAACCATTGAGCCATATGATCGAGATGTCATATTCTACACACTCATGATCATTCTACGATGCTATTTAATACAGTTTTTACTCCAAATTTTTAATTTTCTGTATCAATAAAATTATCTTTTATCGAAACGCAATTACTTTTGATAACATTAAATAAAAATAAATTAAGAAGATTTTATCATTTTCTTCGGCAAATATATTTTGATTTAACGGACGGCCCAGGATAAATGTCACCCTAAGTATTTCTGCGACATCTTCATGGAAGTTCATCGCCGAGGACTAGTTTTTTCCCCAAAAGATTTCCCATTCGACGCTCTACAAAAACCGATATTTGATTTCAATCAAGTTCATATTTTTGATTTCTACGATTATGAAAAGTAAAGATCTACAAAACGTTGTACTTTCAAAGTACGAAAAAGGTGAAGGCCCAACGAAAATATTTCGTGACCTTAATGGTACACTGTGCCTACACACAATCAAACGGTGGTGCAAAATGATTGGACAGAGTGGTTCTATACAACTGTTGAAGCCACCAGACTACCCACGTATCGTTCGTACGAAGGGAGCTAGTGAAAAGGTCACACATTGTTTGCAGCGGAAAAAGCCAATATCAACACGAAAATTGGCGGGTGATCTAGGTATTTCGCAAGCATCTGTGCAGCTAATGCTCAGAGAGGATCTAGGCCTTAAAACTTACAAAAAAGTAGTTGAACCGATGCTCACTGACGAGCATAAGGGAAAACGAAATACTTTTGCAAATTGGGTCCGAACAAATTTCCGAAAAGAAGAGACAATGAATATTTTCTTTTCTGATGAGAAAATGTTCGACATCGATGGTGTCTATAGCAGTCAAAATGATCGTGTGTGGGCAGTAGATCGTGTTGATGCCGACACGAAAGGTGGCATCAAGCCGAAACGAAAGTTCCCGCAAAAAGTCATGGTTTGGTTGGGTGTGTGCTCTAAGGGTGTTACGCCATTAGTTATCTTCGACAATGATTCGGTAGATCACGCCCGATACACTCAAGAAGTGCTTCCAGTGGCACTTGAATACGGCAACAAGGTGTTAGGAAGCCAATGAACATTTCAGCAAGATGGTGCAAAACCACACATTCATCATCTTACACAACGATGATGTCAGGACCACTTTCCTTCCGTTATTGACAAAGATCATTGGCCACCCAATAGTCCCGATTTCAATCCATTGGACTATTAGATATGGGGTGAATTTGCTCATGCTATTCGGTGGGATAAACTGACATCCAAAGCAACGCTGATTGACGAACTCAAGCGATCTGTCAAAACGATTCGACAGAATGTTGTTTTTGAAAGTTGCTCATCTTGAACCAATCGATTGTACCGTGTTTCAAAAACGAATGGTTGTTATTTACGTGAATAAAATAGTCTCATTTTGTAGAGCATTCAAAGACGAATCTCTTATAAAAAAGAGAGTAGGCCAGATCGATAAAATCTCATAGAGATATTTCCAAAATACTTAGGGTGACATTTATCCTGGGCCGCCCTTTATATGAAAAGATTTAGATGCTTCTCAACTTTTTTAAATTTAGTACATCTCGCATTTTGAAAAAAAATATAAATTAGCACTCCTAGATGCGAGATGAAGTTTGTTATTATTACTAAACCCTATACTATTTCATGTTTTGATACAGTCTTAAACTTTTAGAATATGCTAATGCAAAATAAAATAAAATAAAATAAAATAAAATATATCAAGACGGAAGCACGCAATGGTTTAAATCTTTTCGAATGCATTGTTGACTACAGCAGACTCTCTAATTGTCCGTCTAGCTAGAAACAAATTCGATAAGCATTGAGTAAAATAAACACTTCTTAAAAAAGGACTAGCCATGAGGTGTCTAGAAGGTGCTTCAGACTAGTCCTAATAGCTGTTGAAGACATTTCAGACTAGTCAATACCGTTTACGTCGGTTTATTTCTTATTTTCTATGCATGAGTGGGAGTCAATATATAAGTTTAGACTATATATACTTACGGCAGTCTATCTCAGTGTCTTAGTCTGCCATCAGGATGTACGTCATATCTCAAACACTGTCGGACTGGATGTTCAAATCCACCGTGTATCCTCTTTTTTTAATTTTCTTACTAGTCTGGGCTCTGTCAACAGACAACGCGGATTAGGCATGGTTGGGCTCAAGGACATTTCAGACTAGTACAGACGTGTTTGTAAGACATTCTTCATTAAGCTGACTAGACTAGACGGGTCCTGCGGACATTTCTGACTATTCATGTCGGCAGTCTTCCTTCATTTTTTGCTTACTTGGGTAGACAGGTTGATTTCATATTTTATGACTGATTCGGTAACAAGTAATACCTTTTAAAAATTCAGACAATCTTTTTTTTGTTGATTTTAGAATGCTATTTACAGTGGTACGTATTTTATTCTTAAATTTTCTATCTACGAATCACTACCGTGCGATAAAATCTCGCACAACACTCTCAAACGCCTACTGGTCGATAAGTGCTGCTCCAAAAGGAAAAACCTATAATGACTCACTTTCAAACGCATAAGGAAAAGAAGGATAGAAAATTTTCTTTACTTCTATGCTCTGATCTATTAACAGTGAAATTAGGAGTGACTCCTTATCTTTATTTTCCTTTATACTAAAGGATAAAGATAAATGAATCATTTATCTTTATTAAATAAAGCAAAAATAAAGGAATAAATGATTTCTGTTTTCAAGCGATAATCGAGTCCAAAGTATTCTGGAATTGTAGAACTCGTGTTTGGGAAAATTCTTATCATTGAATCGATGTCATTTGGTTGAAAACAGAGACTTCTGAAGTGAAATCAACTTGTGCTGTTTTACTAGTATTTAGGGGATTTTAGTTAGAAAAATGGAGATTAAATTAAAACTAATACCATATTCTGAATCAACAATAAAAACGGAGCAAACCTATGTAACTTTCGAATATACTTTAGATAGTTACGGGTTTATCTAAAGATTCACCCCTACCCCCCTCAGGGTTTCTCGACCAAAACGTAGATCTTACGAAAACTTCCTTTTAATAGATTAAACAAACTCCACTTTGCGCTCCGCTAGTATTTTACGAGTTTAGTGCTTGTT